GAGGCCAAAAGAAAAATACAACTGGGGAGTAGGCCTGTGCAAACAGGGAAGTATTCGATTTGGATTCCGCCAATTCAGAGGACAGCGATTTGATTCAGAGATTCAGATCACTGTTCCAAATCGATTCAGCCAACTTGGTTTTGGACAATTCAGCAAAGATTCAGAGATTCGCCCATAGACTATAATGGGGAATGTAACTTGGTCATTTTTTGCTAGATTTGGATGAAAACAGCAGGTATGGTAGCCCTTTCTGAGGGCATGAGGCCTTCCAGGTTTCAAGGAGCTAGGGGTAAGCGTTTCTGGGAAACTGCACCTCAAGGTGCTGACAAGAAAAACTTGTGACATGTGTGACTTTGTGTGTGTGTGTGTGTGTGTGTGTGTGTGTGTTCAGGTGCAGTGGGGTGAAAACTGCAGGGCTGGTAGCCCCTGTCCTCACCCTCACAACTCCACTGCAACCAGTAAGCCTCAGGCTTCTTTGAGCTCTTACAGGTCTGGGCTTTCCACAGCCAGGACTGTGCGGTGGCTGGAGGATATCAGGTGCCTCCTTCTCCTACCTGCCTTTCACCAGGGATGTTCACAGTCCTGGCATTTCCTAGGGCTGCCGCGCCACCGGTGGTCCCACCCAGGCCTCCCTACTCTGGCAGGGTGCAGTTTTAGGTGGTGCAAGGATGATGTGGGGCTTCCTTCTCCCCCTATAGCCTCAGCCCTTATACTTCCAAGTTCTCCTGACTCGGGAGCTCAGCAGGGACATGTTCTTCCCAGGCTTGTGGTTGAGAAACTAAACTGCTGCCTCCAGCTCTGAGAGCAGGCAATTTCATGGCTGCCCTGTCCTGCCATGTACATCCCCCCTCATGCGGGAATGAGGCCTGCCAGGTTTCAGGCACTGGTGCAGGGGTTTCTGTGAACCTGCACCTCAAACTGTTGAAAGCAAAACTTGTGTCACTTGTGCGTGTGAAGGGGTCTGGTTGTAGCCGTGTCAGTGTATGGACGTAGCCCAGAGAAGGTTCTTGGGGTCAATCTGATATCTTTTATTAGACCACCTAAGGAGTTGGAGAAATTGTTCTTTGCAAGCTTTTGGGTTTAAAAACCCTTCATCAGACTGAGGAAGCATCTAGTTGGGGTGTGCATGTGTGTGTGTGTGCGCGCGCACGCGTGCTCTTCCTGGACAGAAGGAATAGTAAAGCAGCCAGAGGCTGGCACACAATGCAGACAAGAAAGGCAGTCAGTGAGAATGGAAATGGAGGTGCCAGGGTTGAGAGACAGGCTGGGGTAGAGGAAGGGGTATGTAGCAGGTAAAAGTGGGGAGGTACCTGGGGAGTCGGATGTCAGGCAGGTTGTAGCGTGTCATAAATCCAGTGTCTACATTGAGTCCATGAGTTTCTATATCTAGGAGGTTGATGAAGTGAAGTTCATAGGTCTGTCCGTGAAAAGTGGTTTGTAAATTCCTGTTGAGGATCAGGACTGAGACTGGGAGACGGCACCCAAGTCACGAGTTTTGCCTGCCTGCGGCCAGAGGTGCAGGGCCCCAGAGCCCAGACTCTCCCTGCACCAATCTCCTTGAAACTTGGCAGGCTTTGTGGCCTAAATGAGAGCTACCATCCCTGCAGTTTGCACCCCACTGTGGCTTAACACACACATGTGACATGAGTTTTGCTTTCAGGAATTTGAGGTGCAGTTTCCTATAAACCCCTGCACCTATCACCTTGAAACTTAGCATGCTTCATACTCTCAGAAGCAGCGACCATCTCAGCAGGTTTCATCTAAATCAGCCAAAAGCCAATGAAGTTATAGCTACTTCATTGATTCCCCATTATACTCTGTGGCCGAATCTCCAAATGGTCTCCGGATCTTCCGAAGCGATGCGGCCAAATCGAATTGGAAAAACAATTCAGATATCTGAATTGAAACTCTGGCATCCAAATTGTCTGAATCCGAATTGAATAGTTCCCTATTCACACAGGCCTAATAGGAAATCTCTAAGCAGCCTCAAAAGAATGAGAAGCCTGCAAAGAGTGAATCTCTTATTGGGAATGACAACTCTGCTCGCCATCTGTTTTAGTCCAAATTGATCATAAAAAAATATCACTGATTTTAAATTAATAAATACTGTTAGAAGAGTAATTGGAAGTTGCATGAAATATGGATTTGGAACGTTGGATATAAATAATAGAGCATAACATTTTGATGATGGCTTTAAAAGATTTCTATAGAAGTGCGCATTTACTTTACATTTGTGTTCCTGCTGTCCACGGATTTGCCCTAGTCCCATCGCTAATATGGATGTGATTAAAAAACAACAGCAACAAGAACAGATGTAGGCATGCTCAGTTGAAGGCTGAAAGAAGCTACAAAATAATCATGTCTGACTTCAGCTGGATGATTAATTAGAGATGGTTAGGGATTTTGGAAGGATTTTTTTCAGTAATAAATTCCAGTTCATTAAAACAGATTTTTTTGCAGGAACACACACACCAGTTGTGGCATAAAATGTTTACATGAGCCCATGTTACAAGAGAGAAAGACTGACATGTTCCTGACACAACAGCCAGGTGGTTTGGAGAATCGCCCAAGAGCCAACAGATCAGGGTTCAAGCTTTTCTGCACCTGATTTAGGCTAGAGACTTGAATTGAATTCTCATACAACATAGATAAATGCCCTCACCACTGGCCTGG